TACTTATTCATTTTATTAAAGTTCACAAACATCATTTCTCAATAATATTTAAAATATATAATAAAATTAAAAGCACTTGACAATTACCTTTATATTTTATTTATATTATGGAAGCATAGAAGTTCCATCCAAATTAAAATACATTTTTTTACAAAATTTGTTTGTTACCTAATTCTTAAATATAGCTTTGTACAAACAATCGTGATAATTAACACAAATCTTTTTTTTATTGTGCTTAAAAGTGAAATTAGGTTAAAATAGTATAATTGAAGTAAATATAACCTTATAAAACCATATTGAGTTTGTGCAACACATTTTAATATGTGATGAGATATTATCAATATTCATACGTAGAAGTCTGAACAAGATTTTTCCAAGTACAAAAATAGTTTAGTATTTATAATATACTTTATATAGATACTAAATGTTAACAAGTTTATATTATAATGCTTCAATTTGTACATATTCCACTTTTTTAAATGAAATAAACTAAAAAATAGAGGAAATGAATCACACATTTTTGTGAAATTGTATTATTAAATTGTAAAGGTATTGCAGATATGTGTAATAACAATTAAAATATTTTATAACAATCCACGCTCTACGGAATTACCACAAGATACAATTATTTGCTTAAATTCACCACGTGTATCACAATATTTCAGTTCTACAATTAAGAAAATTATGAACACCTTATAATAGCTTCTTTTGACATTAAAAATTATTATATCTAGACACTATCTTGTATAACAATGTAAAATTTGGTACAAGAAAAAACCTTTGTTAAGCTCATCCTTTCAAAAATTGTAAAGACGGTTCTAATATAACTTAAGTATACGAGTATACCTTTGATAATGGTTATATTGTTGGCTGAGAGAGCAGTAGTGAGGTAAAGATAATACTGATTACCATTACCTACTAATAATCTAACCTAACCTTAAGTTTATACCAAGAGTTAAAAATAGGATCTTTAATTGATTCCTTGCTGAGAAAGTGATGAACGATTAAGTAAGAAATGATAAAAATCACAGTAATGCCCACCAAAGTTGGGAAGGGAGCTGTAGTTGAGTCTCAATTTGAATGAATGGAGTAGTAAGAGATTGTACACAGTTCACAATTTTGTGTATTTGATTATGGCAGCGCTAATTTTAAATCATTTAAACAATGGTTAGGTAGAGATGATTGTAGATAATGTGTTTTTTTTTTCTAATAATAATAAGACTTACTTCTAATGTCATAGTTTTCTTGTGTAAAAACATGAGTTTTTTTTTTAATTCAACCAGCTGCCCATGGCAATGTTTAATGGATGAGAACTGAAAATTAATCAACCATATTATTAACTGAAGTAATAAATGCATAATATTATTATTTCACCATATTTTGAACTTCTGATTCATTTAATAAATTAGATAGTTCTTCATTTTCTTTGAGCATAGCATCGATAAGCGATTTTTGTTTGTCACTAAAACATAATTAACATTTTAATAATATAGCTTAAAATAGTAGTGAACATCGTACAAAACATAAGCTGTAGAATATATTTCTAAATTGTATAATATAGTTATTTATATTATTGATTTACCTATTAAAATAACAATATAAAATTACATCTATTACGCAGTTAAAAGTTAGATGAATATTATGTTATTTAACAGGTTTATTTAAAAACTGTTATTAAGAGGATGCAACACCCATATTTTTTGTCTCAGTCTTACGAACGCGTAATATAGCAAATTTTCGCTCAGTAGTTCATGTTTTACTCCATTAGATTAAAAATTAGAGTGAATAAACCTATTATGAAACTTGATGGTAAGCAAATTATCTGTGTTTTATTGGAAGTTTTTCTACGATAATTCAGATTTTAAGTGAATTATGCGCGTATAATAAATTGTAAAATAAAAATGCTCAGAACTCACTTAAAAACTGAATTATCATAAAAAATACAGATAGTGTTAATCAAGTTTCATAATAAATCTATTCACTCTAATTTTTAAGCTAACAAAGTAAAACGTGAAGTGCTGAGCAGGGCCGGTGAAAGCTATGGGCGCCAGCACGTAGGGGCTCCAAACTGAAAATTATTTTTATTTATTTATCTTTTAAAACGCATTAACAATCTATACAATTTGAAATATTCATTATCAAATGTCGTTTTAATTGAAGATGCATCTTCAATTGTCTCATATTAGTCATATTTGTAGAATATAAGAATAATATAACAGTGC